GAATAGTATATATATATTGAAGTAGATTAAGTACAAGTATTTCTATGTGGTGAATTTTTTACCTGGACATATTTATATACATAAATAAAAATTACGTCCAGGTAAAAAATTCACCATATATAATATATTGTTTGATTATATACAAACTGCAATGGTGTGTGGCCAGTAGCATTACATCCTGGTAAAAATCAAATGAGGGATTAAACGTCGTGTTGTGAAATGAAATGAAATGGGGTTTAACATCCTACTGCTCTGCTCTGACTGGGCTAATGAAGACGGGTATATGCCATACAGCGGGCTATGAGGAAAATTTTGCCCGGGCAGCGGCACTATGGCCTACTCTTATCTTATATCGAATTCCAACTGCGAGCGACTAGACATCTGTCCTTGTCAGAGGGAGGGGGGGGGGGTACCGTCCACTCGAAACAAACTAGGTCATTTCGGGACTAACACATGGTTCAATTTTATTTCAATACTTCGCTTGCGCGTAGGGGTCTTTAGCAGTGGGACGAAACCGGAGGACCCGGAGAAAACCCACGGGCTTGGACAGGCGACTCTACTCCTTGTCACGCCAAACGATTACACACCACGTATATACGGGCACTCCGTGGTGTACAGGTTCCTTGTCGGAAAACGCCGGGATTAAAACCCAGGACCAGTTCCCTGTATAAATAAGCCGTGACAAAACGAATACCCACTAAAGACTGTTTTATTCCGCTCGTTCCGATGATGAAATGGTTTTAAATGTTGGTTGTCTTGTGTCGGGAAGTGTCCACAATTATCCTTGTAAATTACGCCAATTTTTTCTCCCCTGTTCTCATAACCCATTCTTTATTAATAAAAATGGACACGGTAATAGAATATAAAGTTTATTTCTGTATTCCCCAGCATTTTCCCGGTCACTTCGCCAGATCTGAATAACCTATCATTTATTAATGAAAATAGAAATAGACACGGTAATAGAATATAAAGTTTATCACAGTATTTCCCCTCTATTTTCCGGGTAAGATGCTAAAAACCAGGGCGTTCAAAGGTATTTATCACCATATTTAGACCTAAGGTTTTATATCGGCAATGAATAGTATTGGTTTTACCACATCGTGCAGTATATCGCTTTCCCTATTACATGACTTGCACAGTTATACAGAAAACAGGTCATCAACAGGATAGGGAAAAACCGGGATATAATAATAATAATAATAATATAAAGGCCTTTTTTTTTATCCTTATGTAAGTCAATTATTCATGTTGTAAAACCCCAGTCACTTCCCGTGACAAAGGTCTGTAAGAGACACACAAAGCATGGGGAACGCCGGCTAAACCTATTTGTTAAGGCCAGCTCAATTTTCGTCATGGTCGCTGAGATGTAAATAAGGTTAGTGCACGTGATTGTTGGCGAGATTGTAGGTTAAGGTTAGGATAAGCATTAGGGCTAGGTCCATGGTTAGGGTTGGGGGATTAGCGCTAGCCCTAGCTAGTTTGACCAAACTTGAAGTTGGCCTTATCAATTAGATCTAACCGGGGAACCCCCTCTTGTGCAACACAAGGGAAATACCCAAGGCTGTTTATGCAATTTATACCGGGGTTGCGAAGGTCGTTTCAATAACAAGTGTTCAAATTCCAGATGTTTGTAAGTTTTGCTTATCAGAAAAACCTGTCCAAACTAACATTCATCTCTAAATTGCTCCCAGGTCCCACGCGAACGATATTGTAGACAACCCATTTTAATTGACAAAATACAATCCATGCCCTGCAGTCCTGCATTGCGTTTATAAAGTTAAAATACGTTTATTACAAAAACACCCTTTTCGGGCAGGATGTAAATTATACATAGTTAAGACATAATTTTCCACAATAGATGAAAAAGTCTTATTCAATAGCAGCACTCATTTGTGACCAAAAACTTTTCAATAGTATAGAGATAAAAAAAACCCAAATGAAATGAGATGAAATGGGGTTTAATCCCCTACTGTTCTGCTCCTATGCTGGCTTAATGAAGACGGGCATACGCCATACAGTGTGCTATGAGGGAAATTTTGCTCGGGCAGCGGCACTATCGCCTACTCTTATATCGAATTCCATCTGCCAAGGGATCTTTTACGTGCATTCCAATGTATACCCGGGAACTCGGTTTTTCGTCTCATCCGAACGACTAGACAGCTGTCCTTGTCAGGCCCTCCGTCCTGCAACACTGACAAGGGGAAACCCCGTCGGAAAATCTCGAAACAAAAAAACATAAAAAGGGGATAATATTAAGACATGTACAAAATATTATGAAATGAAATGAAATGGGGTTTTAAAGTCCTACGCCCTATCTGATCCAACTGGGTCTACTCATGTCGAATTCCATCTAACAAGGGATATTTTACGTGCACTCCAATGTACACACGGGGCGACTAGACAGCTCTCCTTGTTAGGCCCTCCGTCCAGCTCCACTAACAAGGGAAAATCTCGATGAACTTTCTCGGCCCACACCGGGAGCGAACCCGCGACATTCAGGCTAGCGAGCCAGCGTCTTACCCACTTAGCCATCGTGGCTTCTCACATTATTCAATCCAGAATAATTTGTCACCATTAATAAACTTTTGTATATTGAGACAAAAAACATTGGCATATATATTGCGTGTACCGAAGTTTAAAGGGCTAATCCCGATATTTTTTGGAGAATAAAACTGCTTAATTTTGTGTTAAAATCCCTTAAATTCCTCTAGCTAAGGGCCGAGCAACTAACTCAATATTTTTGATAAGTTTTCAAACAACTTAAACCCGTCAGTCTTCATCGGGAAATGGAGACTGGTGGCCCAAGCTGTATTATGCGGTGTCTGGATAAAACTAGACTTTTATTTTAGAAAAAATAATGTGTAGGTGAAATTTGCCTTTCGTTATCAAGTAGAGCACATGGGTCATTCTCTATGTAGACCTCTCAAGGAACGGGAATCGATTATCAGGTCACCCAACGAAAAAACTGACCCGAAATCTTAAAAGGGTTACGTGTCCGGATAAGCAGTTTTGACGTTCATGTCCAAACGACTCAATATTTTGAGCTGGAATTTTGAAAGAAGGTAAATACACCATTCCTCTATATTTTGGCGCTTAAATTTCATACGTACTCCGACTTTTATTTTTGAGACTCTCTTGAAATCGGGATAGTCCCTTTAATGAAACTCATAGATTGTCTAAATTATTATACATATTCATTCATTAGTGGGAGAGAGGCGGGGGAAAGAGTAGTCGATCGTCCGCTAGTACGTGACAAGTAATAGAATCGCCTGTCCAGCCCCGTGGATTATCTGGGCCCCAGCCCAAACGCCCTTCCCCACCCACACTAGCCGTACTAAAGACCCCTACGCGCAAACGAATTATTGAAATAAATGTGAACCATGTGTTAGTACCGAAATGACCTAGATTGTGTCGAGTGGACGTTAAACCCCATTTCTCTGTCTCAACAATTAGTGACTAAAAATCATTCCCACCATTAAAGCTTTGACTCATTGCCGTTTTCAGCTATCGTCGTGTATTTTTATTTCCCTTTATCATGTTCGGTATAATTATTTTTGTAAGATATTAGTAACATTAACTACATATAGTCATGTGATTCACATGTAGCCTCGACTCGATATATTCTTACTTATGAAATATTAAGGTCAATATATAGATATAGGCTCAGATGTAGCATTGTAGATAGTGCAGCGAATAGTCGATAGGCCTACATGACATTGTAGTTACACCACGATAAGGGACGTGTTTATACAGGACGCGGACCTCTTATTTATTTAGGTCAACCAGAATAGTCGAATTCGGTTAATCGGATGCGTTATTTCAATCAGACTTGGGAAAACCTCTCTTGTTTACCACAGTTTCGTTTCGGTTGAGTGCCTACAGGTCCGCCTAGCAGCCCTGGCTGTTTGCTTAATGAAATGAAATGGAGTCTAACGTTCTACATTTTGCACGGACTGGGCGAATGAAAACCGGCATGAAGTCTGCTGAGGGAAATTTTGACCGGACAGAGGCACCACGCCGAATTTATTTTAAAATTCCAACTGTCAAGGGCTCCTACTCATTGGCGTGCATATAAAAGATGCCTTGGCAGTTGGAATTCGATATGAGTATTGCACACGCTATTGTGTATGCCCGTCTTCATTAGCCCAGCCAGAGCAGAACAGTAGGACCTTAATTTTAAACCCGATTTCATTGCATTTCATTTCTTATTTCAACTTTCAAGGGTTCTTTTACGAGCATGTCAATGTTCATTAAACAACCCGAAACAACACCACTTGAAATGGGGTTTAATGTCCATGTGACACAAACTAGGTCGTTTCGAGACTAACATATGGGTCATTTTCAATAATTCGCTAATGCATAGGGGTCTTTAGCAGTGGGAGGACCTATGGACTCCCTGAGGTGGGACAGGGGACTCTACGTCTTGTCATGTACAAGATGGGAATTGAAACACTTCACTTGACTAAATGACAGACTATTAGATCACCGCCCCCCCCCCACCCCACCTCAATCACGAGGTACACATAGGAATTTTATCAAATTTTCTTTTCCTCAAAATAAATTTACATCTGGTATCAACACTCATTAATCAGGACGATTTCCTGTCAGGGCATTGCATGTAGTTGAAGTAGATTGGGCAGCACAGATTGCAGAATGGGATATTGCCCGGGTAGTGGCAAACCTTAGGTAGTAAGAAACTCGGCCGAGGATCTGGGTTCTGTAAACCTGCTCAATCAATCAAGTGCTGAGCTATGCCCAGGCATTTTGAGATTAACATATAATCTATATTTTATTGTTTGCATGTGCAATGGGAGGTTGGAGAATTTTGCCCAGGCAGCTACATTCCACCCACTCTTCTTTCAATTTCAACTGTTAAGGTTTCTTTTATGTTCATGTGGTCACAGATGGACCCCTGCTTTCCATCCCATTCAAACATCTAGACATAATTTTACAGCCCCAACCCTAACAAAGTGAATAATAAAATAAAACAATAAGAAACATTAATTTTTCTACATTTTAATAATTTAAATATATACATCTATGAATTTATACATTATAATGTGTATTAACAAAATAGATTTATCTTGCAGTGTAACTACACGTGCAGCACATATAAAGACCCCACTAAGAGTTTCACATCACACAAGGAATAAGGGTCTTAGTATTTTCTAAGACCAGTGGACATTAGACACTCTAAATTTCTAAACAAAATAAGTAAATAGTCTTAAAGTTTAAGAAATTGTTAATAAACTGAACTAGTTTAATAAAGTAGGCCTATAATCTGGTATAATAAAGCTGCCCATTAAACTCAAATTGGGAAAAAATCATAATTACTACCATTAGTTAAATATATATGGTAACAAATACACTAATTTCCACATAATGTATCATTAAATATGGTAACAATTTTCACAAAATGTATCTTTAATTGTTTGGAAACAATTTTCACATAATGTATCTTTACCGTAATTGTTTGGTAACAATTTCCACGTAAATATGTCTTTCAGGTTCACTTTTGAGTTCAATGGAGCATTGCATTTTGGTGAATTTTTGAAAATCTAGTTCATGAGCACGTAAATGAAACTGGTTCTCCTGCGATTCTAATATCATCATACATCATATCCATTTCATTGTCCGAGTCATCCGAGTCTTCATCCAGACCCGCTGTGTCTGCCCCGTGAACGAATAACACTTCCACAGCATCAAGATAACCACGACCTTTTGCTAACGCGATGGCAGTCAGACCTGCGTATGTTTTCTCGTCGATCCTCGTAGAAGGTTCTCTCAAGATAAACTTTAGCAGCTGTTCATTTCCGCACTCCGCTGCATAATGTAAAACAGTTCTCCCGCTTTTTCCATCGGCGATATTAATGTTAGCTCGGTTCTGTAATAACAGAGACATATTGTCCAAGTGGTTGCCCAGCGCGGACAAATGCATACAACTCAATCCATCATAGTTCCTTGATTCCAGATCCTGGGGTATTTTCTGGTAGGGAATTTCATATTTGTTCACATGTATTTCAGTATGATTGACAGGTTTTAATAATATCCTTGTGATCTCCGTGAAGCCCTTCGTACAAGCTATGTGTAAAGGGGTGTTTCCTTTAGAGTCGCGGACATCTACCTGGGCACCCGCTACCATTAGTCTTCGGACGATATCGGGCTGGTTAGTGATCACGGCTAAATGTAGTGGCGTCTGAGAGAGTTTATTGGTTTGATTTAACCAATCATAGCTTGCTGCCAAGGATATCACCTGCACGGCAACAGCGGGTTTTCTTTGGATGATGCTGTTGTGAACTTGATTGTCGCCATCTTCATCTGGTTCATATAGTTGAAAAACATAAGCCTCTGGAACAACATAGTCGTCATTCTGCAAACTGCAAACTGGGCTCAAGTCTAACGAACTGGTTTGACATACTCCACTATCAAACCTATGATTGTCTGATAATAAACTAGATGCAGAAGTTGCACTGTCACTGCCGAACGCATGGCTGCTTTGTATCGCTGAAGAACTGCTATGAGGATTTATCTGATTTGATAAGCTAACAGAGAGCACTTGGTCTGAATGGCTTGGGTAACTATCCTGGTCGCGATCCCTCACACTTAAACCCGTAAACAGCTTGTCCACTGAGTCAAGTCTAGCATTTGAAGAAAAATCATCACCAAAACTGCTAATTCCCGAATCAAGCCATTCTACATTGCCATCAACTTTAAATTTCGCCAAGGCGGAAGAATAGCCTTCAGTACGGCAGCCATATTGTTTTTGATGTTCAAATTCATTTCTGAAGGGACTATTCCCAGGGTCCAGAACCAAATCTTCTTCAACATCACACGGTAACTCACACATTTTGATCAGTAGGCTAACACACAACTGTTTCAAAAATGAAATGAAAATTTCTTTTTATACCGTGTCAACCTACTTGCTGGCTATTAACAGACTGAAGGAAATGCCCTGCAGTCCAAATATTAACAAGCAATTCATTCTATAAATAGAAAATCGGAGTTTCCAATGACGTCGGCATTCTATGACTATGAGAGTTCAGTGTTGCTACCACGCGTATCGATTTTTCGTCATGCGCTTATTTTTCGACTTTATTACGAATATCTGGCGTAAGCTAATGTCGATTCCAATTACTGCTTAGTTAACTGCGACATTTTGTTTTTTCCAAAGTATCGTAAATGTCAGACGGGGGTACGATGGTGTGTTTAAAATAGAAGTGGGCATATTGGGCTTCCATACTGGAAAATTCTACAATTATACGCCTCAGCGGACCGCCCATTTGAGGTATTTTTCTAGCAGATTCAAGATGGGCGACTCTGCATGGGCTGTTCAAGGCTGTGCTGACATTAAATTATAGATATTCCTGTCAAAAATTTGAATTTTAGGTTTTACATTTTGAAAATTAAACATACCGTACAGATGAAATGTACCGTACAAAAGCGCATCAAAACTAACGTTTTTTAGTTTTTACTACTAATAAATATTTAGGCCTATATAACATAGCCTAACCCGATTCGAGTCAGAACTTTAATGTAATTGTTATACTTTATTTGAGAAAATACACATCGTAATTGTGGAAATAAATCCTACGAAAGTGTACCAATGCTACTGTAAGAATTACTAATAGGTCTACACCAATTGACCCGACAACGCAGAACTGGTATTTCCATTTTGATGACGTGCGTATGAAAGTTACTATATATTGCCCGATCGAAGCTGTCAATCAAAGTAACAAACCAACCAATCAGAAATAATCTACCTTTACTTAAACCTGTGCAAGGTCATGTTTGTATTTTAACTTTCCGCCGTTTAGTCGGTCAGGCGTAAACAAAAATGTCCCAGTAGACAAACTTGATAAATGGGCAAAAACGATTGATACGCGGAGAAAGCCTGACACAAGGGGTGGAAAGCTTTATATTCATTTCCCCAAATCCCGGAAATTTTGACTATCTCTCTAAACGTTATGATAAAGGGTTTCCCTCAGCAGAAAATTCTACAGAATACTGGTGTAGCTTTCCATAGAAATTATTTTTCTTTTCTCGAGTGTCAGCTAACTTTCTATACAGGAAATACCGGCTAAAATAGGCCCTTTTACTTGGAAGAAAGAAAAATTTGGCGCAGAGTGTAGATTTTATAGGCAATTGAATGAGAAGTATTTGGTTCCCAAGAAAGATTTGCAAGGGGATTATTCCTCGATTTTATGGGCGGGGTTTTGCCTTAGCGGCGCAGAACGAATGGGCCTGTCTAATTCGTCCGTATAAGACGGAAAACCTGTCTCGTGTACACGTTGAAGTGCACGTAAACGACCCCCTGGAAGTTGGAATTTAACGAAAAGTAGGCGAAAATTCTGGTGTCCTGACAGAATACCCACAATAGCCAGAGAACCATGGTGACTCGGTGAGTACGACATTAGCTCGCTAACCTGGATATAGGAGGGTTGGATGGCCGAATGGTTAGCGTGTGCGCGCTGTCTCATAAGGTCTGTCATTGAGTCAGCTGGCGTGGTTCCGATTCCCCGGTTGTACATGACAAGGAGTAGGGTAGCCTGTCCAACCTTGTGGGTTTTCTCCGGGTCCTCCGGTATCCTTCCACTGCTAAAGACCCCTACGCGCAAACGAACTATAGAAATAAAATTTAACCATATGTTAGTCCCGAAATGACCTAGTTTGTGTCGAGTAGAGTGGACGTTACCCCCCCTCTCTCTCTCTCTCTCTCTCTCTCGTTAACCAGGAGGTTTCGTGTTCGATCCTTGCGCTGACCGGGAAAGGTTAATCGAGATTTTCAGACGTGGTAACTCATTTTATTCCTTAGAACGTAGTTTAAAAATAAGGATACAAGGTCATAGACCCGCATTTTTATCCCAAAATATGGAAGATTCTCACGAATCCTAAATATTTGGACAAATCGACTATCTTTAATTTAGTTTAGATTAAGACTAAATAAGTGTTAATGTTGATTAATCAAACATTCTGGTATTTTTTTAGCAAACCCAACCTTTGTATAAACGTTTTAGAAATGGAATCTATATCAATATTTCATATATTCGAAATTGGGTTCTCTTTAAAGCCTCTACACGTCGTTTTAGGTTGTTTTTTTTATTATTAATTTTTATTTTTGTTACAAACTGTGAAAGTTGAATCCCTAAGATTCCGTTCAGTATTGTGGAAAATGAAATGAAATGTGGTTTAACGTCCTACTGTTCTGTCCCGATTGGGCTAATGAAGGCGAGCATACACCATAACAGTGTGCTACGAGAGAAATTTTGCCCAGACAGCGGCACTACGGCCTACTCTTATATCTTATTCCACAAGGGTTCTTTTGGATGCATGCCAATGTGTACACGGAACCACGGTTTTGCGTCCAATGAATGACGACTATACGTTGTCCCTTGCCAGATCCTGCATCCTGCACCACTAACGAGGGGAACCACGCCGGAACATTTCAAATAAAGTGAATAGATCCTGGGCCACTGTACTGTACAGTACTGGGACTGTAATAATACAGACTTCACTTAAACATACAGTATGCAAGAGCTAAATCTGTCTATTGCAGGTCTTTCTTTAGGCCTGAAATGTTATATAAACTATTAATTAGACATTAATTAACCTATCCAGGCCATAATCAACTCTAGATGGCAGCGCTAACCTACGATATTTATCAGATTGGAATACATTTTTGGACTATGCTGTTTATCGTACTGACTTTAGTAATGATGACCGAGGCTTATGGGAATTACAGTAGCTTAGTTATCTAGTTTTTAACTATTATATAGTGAGAACTGCCAACTCGTTGCCGAATCTCCGATAATGTATCTTTAAAATGAAAAAAATATAAGGACTTGCAAGAAAGACGTAATGCGACCGATCTTAATGGTGGTCGTCTTCTGAAAACGGTGGATGCCAGTTGACGTCATTAGTGAGAAGAGAACACCAAAAAAAAAAAAAAAAAAAAATAAATAAATTAAAAAAAATAAAAATAATAAGGGCGATATTTTCCGGACATAATTTTGGATAACTCTAAATAAAATGCAGTGGGCAAACATGAGTAAAGCGGTAGATTCTATTTGTTAAGGCTAGCTCAATTTTTGTCAAAGTCGCTGAGATGTAGCTTACGGTTAGGGTAAGCATTGGGGCTAGGTCCAGGGTTAGGGTTGGTATTAGCGCTATCCTTGTTTACATCTCGTGACCTATGGCGAAAAATTGAGCTGGCCTTATCAATTAGCACTACCTTGAGTTTAGCCCAACAACGAGAACATTCTACCCACATTTTCATGTGGACGTATATTGTCGTCGCCCCTGTCCGTCCGTCCACATTTGTTTGTGAACAGTCTACAGGTCACAATATTTATCCGATTTCAATGAAACTTGAAATATAGGTTTATCACCCTAAGATCTCGGTTCCTTTCGATATTGGCATGTATGGGACTGTAACTTCATGGATTATGGCCCCTGATTGTACGAAAAATCACGTTGTTAGCTTGTGAACACTGTAGAGGCCACAATTTTTATCGGATTTGGTTCAAACTTGAAATGTATGCTTATACATTTCCTTTCGATATTCGCGCATATCGGAACGTAAGTTCCTGAATTATGGCCCCTGATTGTACGAAAAAGTCGCGTTTTTAGCTTGTGGACCCTATAGAGGTCATACTTTTTATCCGATTTAAAAAAAACGTATTAGTATATCACGGTTACACCCTAAGGAACTGAGTTCGAATTTCGTGAAAATCGGCCCAAAACTGACAGACAAAATGGCCGCCCTTCGTTCTCAAATAGCGTAAAAATATGGTATATCAAGGTTGTGGACCCTAAAGAGGTCATAATTTTTATCCGATTTTGTTGAAACTTGAAATGTAAGTTTATAACCCAAAGATCTTGGTTCCTTTCGATATTGGCGCATATAGGGCCGTAACTTCCTGAATTATGGCCCCTGATTGTACGCAAATAGCAAGGTTTGGGGACTTTTGTTAGGAAATTTTTCACCACCAGAATTCCGCAAGACTTCGAAGTAAATGATAGAAACTCGACCATGGATCACTCTCATAACAATTCATGTTCAATTTTCCATAAAGAAATACACGACAAACTATTAATATATCAATCACAATCAGGTTCGTTTCGGTTTTTTTTAGAGGTCAAAATTTCATTTTAGTCGCCTTAAATATACGAGAACCTGGAAGAGTTGTTAAATAAATGGTTTATTGAAAATTCTCAATCCTTGTGTGAGATTTGACGTGTAAATAATGAAAACATTATATTACTAGAAGAATGCCCGGCTTCGCTCGGGGGTCATAACCCGAAAACCAGGAGTGGTAGACTAACGCCACCTGGCCTATGTTACTCCCCGGTCCGAGCTACCCCTATACCCCAAATTTCAGACTCGGGGCAGACCTAGTGTAGCCGCCAACCCCGAACAGACAGACAATTGGGTAGTACGGTGTTCAAATAGACTAAAGTCACCAAAAATAAAATCTGATCTTATTAAATCCAAACTGTGCTGCTGTATTATGTAAAGGCAGATTTTTTAAAGTTGTATTGTATATATCGGTAATTGTTTTATAATAGGCCTGCTTGAGACATAAAATTGTTGCATTTTGTCTTTTTAATCACGCATCTTTGGCAGATAAAACATTCCAGTTGGCGTGCTTAGATTTTAAGTATTTTGTGTTCCCAGAAAATTCTTAAGAACGTTCTCGTGCTTAGATTTTAAGTAGACTTCAGTGTAAGCACAAACACGTTATTATGTGTTCCACGAAAAAACTTAAGCGTAACTTCGTTCTTAAACATTTTCAATCTAAGCACAAGTCCCAAGCTAATACGGCTTGCTTACCAACCTTCAGTCTGTTTCTGCTTCAAACAAGAGTTATACGACGGCATTTCCTACATCTTTTGATACCAAAGAGACAACTGAAAGATAGAGAAAGTCCTTTAGATAAACATATTCTCGAGAAGAATAATAGA